ACCAAACTCCTCCATCACAATAAGGTGAATGTTGAAGGAGGTGCTATACCCATGTTGGTCAAATCTTACGCACAATCACAACATCAAATAATTTTTTTACGAACAACCCTCAACCACTTCCATAAATTGTAGCCATTTTTAAGATTTGTTTGCTAATGTTGATCAGCCACAGAAGCCAGAATGAATTAGGTTGACCCAATGTAGGCTTACTAAGACAATTGACTTATAAGCAGACCTAGCTAACTCCAAAATTTAAAGGGATGCTAAGCAGTTTTGGCTTGCTTTTAGCACCCCCTAGTGTCCGTAGTTAAACCAAAAGAGTGCGTCCATCTTTTGAAAACCTTTATCTAACTGCTGAAATGTCTCCTCAGTCTTCATTAGTGTCTACAGGAGCAATTCATCACTAAATCAATCAAATAAGCTGTTTTCACAATCTAAAGCATGCAGGAAATGTGCTGGAAGCAGAGTCCAGCACCGGGCATGTCCACTCTACTTTATTAAGTCCAACAGGGACTAGACTGGCACTCTGCTGTTGCAAGTGCAATATTCTAGGCCAAAAGTATTGCTTGTTTGTAGTAGATTGTTAATAAATGTTTCATCTCAAGTCCTACCATGCAGCTACATCCAGCTCCTTTTATGGTGTTCATTCAAGATGATTTTTACTTTGGATAATGTCTCCAATGTGAGATCCAAACCACCACTGGCCTTTTAAAATGTGGCAGTCAGTCAGGAGATTGCTCATGCTCGATACCATCTCACTACTGGAACAACTCCAAAGTGGCACTATGCTATGAATAGAAGATGAAGCTGCTGACTTATCCATAATAGGACTTTTTTTATCAGCATCATATGGATTTTGAACATACTCACAACAGCAGCATTTACATTTGTGTTTTTAAATACAACATCTATTCATTTTTCAGTTATTCTCAAAATTAGCGTCTCTCATTTAGTCTAAAGTTGATGTGTTTTGTGACAGGATTGCATCCTGACTGCAGAAAGTTCTTCTCATAGCTTGAGTCTGATAACTATCGTATCTTCTTCTGAAGAGCTGATATCAGTGCACAAGTGTTGTTGACAAAGAAGTGCTGCTGTAAGCGAATAAAAACGTTCTGTTATGATGTATGGAGCCACAGCCGATGGCAGCACACAGCGTTTTAAAGAGACTAAACAATACAGAGAAGGTTTGTTTCATGCATATCACTTCTCTTATTCCACAAACATCTTCACATCTGAGCTACATGTGCTTTATGTCAAATTACAATTATGTAATTTTTGTGTCATCACAGGTTTTTATCAGTAGTTCACGCTCCATGATTTCCTCTCCTTTTTATTGTCTCTTTAAGGAATATAATCCAAAATACACTCCAAAAAAATTAAAGGTACGAAGAAAGGTTCAGGAATGAACTGTGGAGGTCGTTGTAGTCCAGTGAACTCATGGTCATGTTCTGGAAACCAGAGATGATCTGAGATTTGTGACATAGTGCATCATCCTGCAGGAAGTAGCATCTGAAGATGTGTCTATGTGGTCATAAAGGGATGGATGTGGTCAGCAACAGTACTCAGGTAGACTTGCCATGCTCAGTTGACAGGTCAGGCTTTGGTTAAAACGAGTGGTTATTCGAGCTACTGTTGCCTTTCGATATCTCCAACTAGTCTGTCCAGTCTCTTCTGACCTCTGAAACCACTCACCTTCTGCTCATGTGGATAGTCAGCAATTTCTGAAATTTTCAGACCAGACTTCTCACATTTAAAGTCCCTTAAATCCTCTTTATTCATGATTCTGATGTCCTAAAAAATGGAGGTGTTGCCATGTGATTAGCAGATTAACTGTGTTAATTAAACACATACTTGGCAGTTTTAGCTTGCTTTTTGCACCCTCTAGTGTCTGCTTAATAGACCCAAAAGCACACCACTCGTTTCCTCGCCGTGTTCCTCTTTTTAACACACTAATCCTACAGCTGAAATGTCTCCTCAGCCTTCATTAGTGTCTACAGGAGTGATTCATCCCTACAAATTAGCTGTGTTCATGATCTAAAACATGCAGTGATCATGCTGGAAGCAGACTGCAGCGCCAGGTATGTCAGCACAACCTTTGTCAAGTCCAACAGGTGGTGGTCCGCCACTCTGAAGTTGCAAGTGCAATGGTCTGGCCGCAGGTACTGGCGTGGGTCTGAGTGACATTTCATTAACCCAGTTAAAGGTCATTTTAGCACATACTGGCTCAAGAAAAGTATTTAAAAATATGAAAAAGTTGCATAGTATCAGTTTAAACATGTGTATTAAATAACGAGGTCAATGAGTGTAGTACAAATAAAATCATAAATCCAATTATTTGTTGACCGTCTTCAAAAAAATTAACAATTGTAGCAACCCTGTCCTCGCTACTTTTACGTTTTTTGTTTATTTATGATTCTGAGTCTGTCTCAGATAACTGCTGAACCACTGTTATACATTGAATTACCCAGAAGAAAAAGCAGAGGTTGTATGTGTTGTTTTGACTTTGCGTTATTCACTTCATATTATAATTTTTTGCTGTAAACATGGAACAGAAGAGAGAGTAATTATACCAAAACAAGGGAGACTGGCTGAACAACAGAGGACAACCCTGTTTGTCACTCACGAGTGTGTGTGTGTGTGTGTGTGTGTGTGTGTGTGTGTGTGTGCAGTTGATTCTGTAGCTTGCGAGGCATGTAGTTTGACATCCCACTGTGATTCTGATTCAAAATGCTCACCAGACAAAGAAAAGCTGCCAGACAGGGTTAGAGATACAGAGAGAAAGAGTGAAAACAGGGAAATTGTGAAAGGCAAAGAGGACAAGAGAGAAACGGGATGAGAATGAGAGACCCGTTTTTAAAAAACAAACTGCATGGAGAGAAAGATGCATATTTCCTATGGGTCACTGAAAGAGAGAGGAGAATGTTGTCTGTCTGAGTCCGGTCAATCGTTCTGCTGATTAATTTGTGACAGAAGGGATTTCTGTGCTCTGTGCCTTGAATTGCTGCTCTAATTTATATGCTAATCTTCTTTAAGTCTCTAACAGCATACAAAAACCTTTTTGATCTTTTTTTTTTTTTTGTAGAGCCTTAAACCTTTTCCAGACTTGAGCATACAGAGATGCACGCAGGGTTCATCCATTGCACAAAATGTGCCTGAACGTGGGAGTTGTGAGGACAGTTCTCACTTTCCTGTTAGTAGTACTTGACAGTGTCCTGTTGGTGAGAATAATGCCTAAAATGTCCATCCCTAGCCAGAATCTCACATCAGTATAACATGTGCAGTCAGCTATAAATGAGGCAGAGTTGGGCAGCTTTTGTTGGGTGCAGAGACAGTTATGTTCATGATTTCTATGGCAGCTTAGCTGTCAAGATAAAGCCTTGATGCTCCTTTAAACACATGAAAAAAGTCATATTAAGTATTTCTCTCTTTGCAGGGAACAGACTGGCCAATAATAGATGATTTATTTAAGTCAAACACATTTCTGATGAAAGGGTAGATAAGAAATGTTGGTAAAAATGTAAGACTTTTAAAAAGGACTCTGGCAATGGAACAACCAAGGAAGATTTGCAGTAATCAGGACATGAACAAGTTAAGTGCATAGCATAGCATAGCATAGTTTATTTATATAGCACGTTTAAAATGCAGCATGGGAGCTGCCCAAAGTGCTGCACAGGCTAAAACAAAACACAACCATTACAAGGAGCTAAAACAGAGGATAAAAATCTCAATCAAAGGCAGATAAACCAAGAACAAATTAAAACAATGATACAATAAAACACTAAAATGAGTCACTGTCTAAAAGCCAAAGTGTAAAAGTGGGTCTTTAAACGAGATTTTAAAACCGCCAGAGATGGAGCCTGCCGAACTCCTATGGGCAATGAGTTCCATAGCTCTGGGGCAGCATGCACAAATGCTCGATCACCCCGCGATTTGAGTCTCATCCGCGGCGTGTACAGCAGAAAAAGGTCAGCCGACCTCAACGTGCGGGTGGGCACATATGGAGTGAGAAGTGCAGAGAGGTAGGGAGGTGCCAGGTCATTGAGTGCTTTAAAAACAATCCTGAGTTTAGCGAGGACTACATGGCTATCAGGTGATTTACTGAATTTAGCAGCGGGACCTAGAGCTTCTGCTATCTCGAGCCCTATCATCATCTGCGTGAAAATGATAAGAGATGTTGTTTTAATGGCTCTCTAAACGTGCTGAAGATGAAGCACAAAGAACAGAAACAACACTGGCCCTAAAACAGTACCTTGTGGCACATCATAAGGAGACATGGGAGAAGGTTTATTCTTAATTTATTGTTAATTCCCACAAATGAAATATAACCACATCAGAGCAGACACTGATGCACCTACCTGCATCTTTTGCCCATTTTAAATTCACAGAAACAGCTAAATATGTTATTTTTCTTTTAAACTGTGGACCACATTAACAGAGATTATGTTTAACGCCCATTCTCTGACATTTTTCCTCTCACTAATACGCTACTACTATGAACTGTAACAATATACAAGAATCTGCCTGTTTCCTTTCATCTACATTTTGGCACATCTAAGAATAGCCCTTTGGTGTGTCTCTGATTTGAAAGGTGGGCATGCTTTCAAACTGACAGCTGCTCTCAGAATCAGAAGCGACATGAAACACATCATTTTTATGGGCCCTTAACGGAGACGTTTTCATAAATGTAGATTCTGCTAAGAGAATTTCATTTTCCTCATTTGGCTCTACCTTCCAAACCCATCCACTTCCATCCTTCTGGGTCTTCTAGGTGTAAATCAGCTCAACATAATAGTGATACTTTTATTGCACTGTCATCTTTTCTATTCCCCCTGGAAGGGAATACTTTTACTATGACTGATTGAGAGGAGGTGTATGTTTGTGGGTAACCTGGTTAAAAGCTCTGGCAAAACCACAACTGGCAATTCTTTGCCCTAAAATAGCAAATAGATGCTATGGATCTACAATCTGACAGAAAACATTTAGAACCCAAATGACTTTACCTGTTAGTAGCTCTCGGATCTCGACGTCTGTGGTCTTTCTGAGCAGTCGTACCAAAGCGGGTATACCTCCACAATTCTTCAGGGCAATCTTGTTTTCGTCATTTGCTTTGCCATAGACCAGGTTCCTCAGAGCTCCACAGGCACTGCGATGCACATCTGTCATCCTGTGGTCCAATAGGTCCACCAGCAGCTGGATTCCACCCTGTCGTCGTATCTGAAAATAAAACAGAAAGTCAACATTTGAAGAAAGGAAATTTTTTTTTCATTCTATATAACACATATTAAATTGCATTAAAGTAATGATGATTAAAATATAAAAACAAGAGCATATATAGAGCTCAATTATGCCAATGCAAGATTCTTTTTTTATTTTCTGTAATTCTTCTGCACATTCTGTGTGTGTGTGTGTGTGTGTGTGTGTGTGTGTGTGTGTGTGTGTGTGTGTGTGTGTGTGTGTGTGTGTGTGTGTACTTGTTTATTTAAATCATACAGAGGACCAATAACACAACTTTTACCAAAAAAATTGAGGACATTGCTTGATAAGTGATGACATCATTTTGCCTGGTCCTGACTTTGTCACAGTGTTAAAGAGCTCTACTGGTTAGTTTTAGAGGTATGGTGTGAATTATATTTTAGTCAAGGTTAGGATTGGGAATAGAACTGGTAATGGTTACAGTTAGGCACATCGCAGTCACGGTCTGTGGGAATCAATGACTTTCCTCACAATGGCAGTAAGACAATAATGTGTTCGTGGCTGAGAGAGAAAGATAAAGAGAGAGAGAGAGTGAGACAGAAAGAAGACAGAGAGAGAGACAGAAAGAGAGAGATAGTGAGACAGAGAGAGAGAGAGACGGACAGAGATGGTGAGACACAGAGAGAGACAAAGAGAAAGAGAGAGAAAGAGAGAGAGAGAGAGAGAGAGAGAGAGAGACAGAGAGACACAGAGAGAGTGACACAGAGAGAGTGACACAGAGAGAGTGACATGGAGAGAGAAAGAGAGACAAAGAGACAAAGAGAGAAAGAGAGAGAGAGAGCTAGACCA